GTCTCTCTCGTGCAGTCTCTCTCGTGCAGTCTCTCTCGTGCAGTCTCTCTCGTGCAGTCTCTCTCGTGCAGTCTCTCTCGTGCAGTCTCTCTCGTGCAGTCTCTCTCGTGCAGTCTCTCTCTTCTGTAGTCTCTCTCTTCTGTAGTCTCTCTCTCGTGCAGTCTCTCTTGCTCTCTCGTGCAGTCTCTCCCCTCCTCTACAATTAGTAGCTGGGCTTGCAGTATGATGACTCACTGTCTGGCAGGATGGTGGGGGGATGTTTTGTCTGCACTGAAGACCTCTGGGGAGAGCGATGGGAGGGGGAGGGAGACTTCACTTCAAGTCTCATATAAACAGTGCAGGAGAAAGCAGCAGGTCTGCTTCTCCCACCCCCACCCGTCACTCCACTGAGCTGCTGCTGCAGAACCTCTTCCTCCCCCTTGTGCCGCCAAATCCTCCATACCGTGACCCCGTCTGCGTCTGCCATGGATCAAAAGGGTTAGAGTTAACCGCCTCCAGTCCAGAGGGTTCACGAGAGCCGGGCATGTGAACACACTCGGTCCTCCGTCATCTGTACAATGTGATGGCGTATTACTGGCCATTTCTCTCCCCTAAAGAGGACCTGTCCCTCTTATACAGAACCTGCCCACTGATGGAGGAGACGTCTGATGGCTTGTCCATCTCATAAGGATCGGTGAAGTCTCATAATTACGTTCTCTTCATAGATGGACGTCACCACGTTCCTTCGGTTGACCGACCTTTGCATGCCTGTGAAGTCCTGATAAGATAATCAGATGATTGCGTATGTGTTTCCTGTCCTCTGATACGATCCGTCGCGTGTATCTTTTTTAACGTCCCATTTTTTGGCAGATAAATTGTTACGGTTCATGGAATATCTCATGAAAGGTCCTTCACGCATCCATCAAACCCCTTCTCATGTCTCTGGTCATTGGCAGCCATTTACTGAGACCTGGCGGCATGGTGCCGCTCTTGTCTAGGAGATGCCGTTGGGTCCGTGGTGCTGTTGGCTGTCCCCACTGGGAACAGAAAGCTATGAGAGATCCAAAATTGTACGGTTGTCACCATGAACAGGTGAAAGCAAATCTCCCAATGGGGACACATCTCTGGTCATTGTCCCCACTTGGAACACAAAGCTATGACAAATCCAAAATTTTATGGTTGCCTCCATGAACAGGTGAAGGCAGATTTTCCAATGGGGACACATCTCTGGTCATTGTCCCCGCTGGGAACAGAAAGGTATGAGGAATCCAAAATTGTATGGTTGTCACCAGGAACAGGTGAGGGCAAATTTTCCAATGGGAACATGTTTCTGGTCATTGTCCCCCGCTGGGAACAGAAAGCTATGAGAAACCCCAAATTGTATGGTTGGCACCATGAACAGTTGAGGGCAAATTTCCCAATGGGAACACATCTCTGGTAATTGTCCCCACTGGGACCAGAAAGCTATAAGAAATCCAAAATTGTATGGTGGTCACCATGAACAGTTGAGGGCAAATCTTCCAACGGGGACCCCTGTTCTGGTGGCAACTGTCTTAAGTGGTTTGCAGAAATGTTCTTCTTCCCTGCTGGTCTTCAGGACAAGAAGTGAAGGAACATTTCCCAATGGGGACAGCAAAAAAACCTTCAAGGGTTCGAACCCTCCCCTACTCTATCTAAAACTTAAATTGGGTTTATTGCATTGGCAATTTCATTTCTGGGGGCGCAAGAACCCTTGCTACACCGCTAGGACTGATCATGAAACCACAAGGAGGAATGCCCATTCTATAGGCGCACCGGAGTGTTCTCTGCATGTAGAAGAGGTCTACATCGGCCACCTAACCGCCTTTCTTTTTTCCCTTTAGGTTGCCGGTAGAAAGGGTTTCCCTCACGTAATTTATGCCCGCTTGTGGCGTTGGCCAGACTTGCACAAGAATGAACTAAAACACGTCAAGTTTTGCCAGTACGCCTTTGACCTGAAGTATGACAGCGTGTGTGTGAATCCATACCACTATGAGCGGGTGGTTTCTCCTGGCATTGGTGAGTGTTGGGCCGTGCTTGTAAGAGAACTGTAGGGAACTGTGAAGGGTTGACTAAAATGTGTTCTCTTTTTATCGCAGGTCTGAGTATCCCGAGTGCAGGTGAGTTTGCTCTCCTATAGTCCCATCTTTGTCCTTTTTGTCTTCCACTCTTGCCTGAGTTTTCGGTTACTTGTCTTGTAGCCACACCGTGTCGGTCTGTAAAAGAGGAGTTTTCCCATGACTGTGACATGGATGTTCCTTCGTGCCTCTCGACACCTCAAGAGCTCCAGCCGCCTATCAAACGCCCTTCCTTACCTCAAATGGCACCTTCGGATGGCTACAGACCATCTCTACCGCCTCTAACGCTCCCCAAAAGCCCTCAGACGAATGTTGGCATGTACGCCAACATGCCCATGTCACCATCTGGTAAGACCCTCTCCATCATCATCATGAATGTCAACGTTCTACATGCCACATATCCAGGAGGACACAGGGACGTTGTAAAATCATTTTATATATTACTAGTGAGAACTTCTAGGGTTGGGTGAAGGGTCTAGGCACCCCATATTTAGGAGGACATGAAGGGATATCACTTTATACATCATTGGTGAGACCTTATCTTGGGTTAATTGAAGGTTCTAGACACCAGGTACCCAGGACAACACATGGCTGTAGTGATATAATGTTATATATTCCTGGTGGGACCTATTCTAGGGTTAAGTTAAGGCTCTGTGCACCAAATATCTAAAGGGATAGAACTTTATACAGCACTAGAGGGACTTCATCTAAGATTTGGTGAAGGACCTATGCATCAGGGATTCATGTGGACACAGGGAAATGGTGCTATCCCTTCGTACACCACTGGTTGGTCTACATTTACAGGATAGGCTTCTCAAACCTATCCTCATGTCTCACCAACAGTGCAGTGTTTGGATTTCCCCCCAGTAACAGGGCTGTGTCATTGATTGATAGAATGAGGTAGCTAGTTTCCTGGTCCTTTTGGTGAAGTCCCCAAAATATGCACCAGTAAGGTCTGAGAATCCTTTTGAAACTCTCTGACTTAGAATATAGTGGTCAGATCATATACCAGATCTCCATGATCCTATTGACCTCATTTAGTAGATCGTTGACCACATCTCCTGTTGAGTACTGTGACTTGTCTGTGTTTTCCACCAGCTCCATAATGTCTTCTTCTCGTGCAGTACCTCCTGGTTGCCCTCTGCCTCCTCTCACACACGGTGAAGGCCTGATGACGATAGCTCCTCCCCAGCAAATGGTGTCCACCTCTCCTCCTTCCACCCCGACTCAGAACCCCCAGAGTAATGGTTACCCGTCACCACCCAAGCAGCCCTACCACAGTAAGTACAACTGGTGGAAGAGTGTGGACTTGAGGCCTACCTTGCTTTCGGCTTGTTCTCATGAACCGCCTGTTTCCGTTGTGCAGCTTCCTGGACAGGAAACAGTACGGCGTCGTATACACCCAATCCAACGCAACCTAACGGGAGAGGAAGCCAACAGGCACCGCTTCACCATCCCAACCAGTACTGTAAGTCCTTTGCCATCACCATTGACTTTTGGTGCAACCAACTTCCAGGTCCTCTGCTTACATAATTGAGGTGTGTGGTTTAAAATCGCATCTCTTGGGGTTCCAGACTTTTGGAAGAAATCTCTAGTCCTTGAACAGTTCTAAACAAGTCCTTTTGGGTTTTACTCTAAATGTTATTGGAAGGCACATGCCTAGCAGACCTAATATGGTGTGGGGGTGGCCAGGACTATAATGAATTGTTACTGTCACAGAGAGAATAGGAGGTTGGCCATCCAAATCTGACCTTTGGGTTCCCACTAGGGATGCACCGATACCAGTATTTTGGTACCGAGTATGAGTACGGATAATTTTTTTCCGGTACTCGCCGATACCAATTACCGAGTAATGGCCGGCCGGCCAATCAGGAAGCCAGGCGCCCTGTAATGACACGACACCTTGCTTTCTGATTGGCCAGGAGGCCGGCTCCATGCTCCCTCGTCATGAGATGACGAGGGAGCATGAAGCCAGCTTCCCGGCCTATCAGAATGCCGGGCGCTGCGTCATTACACAAGTGACGAGAGAACATGTAGCCGCTTCCCGGCCAATCAGGAAACTGGGCAGCGTGTAATGACGCGCTGCCCGGCTTCCTGATACAGGAAGTACTCATGCTAGGCATCGGAGCATTTGGGCGAGTACGTGGCCAAATACTCGGTATCGGCACCGATATTGATACTAGTATCGGTATCGGTGCATTCCTAGTTACAACCCCAGTGGAACACTTGAGGTCTCCTTTTAAGGACAACCAAACTCTTCTAACATGCAACAATATGTCAAGTTTGCGTCTAACTGTCCTTTCCTTTCAGGGCCCATCCATCAGAGTTCTCCCCAGTACCAGCACCCTGTTTCCAATCACCCAGGTAAGCGTCTGTTGGGTTGGAGACATCGTAGAATCCCCAATTTCTTTGTTACCAATCACTGTAACGTGCCGGCTCCTGACAGGTCCGGAGTTCTGGTGTTCCGTCGCTTACTTCGAAATGGACGTTCAGGTCGGAGAAATTTTTAAAGTGCCAGCGAACTGCCCCGTGGTGACGGTGGACGGATACGTAGACCCGTCCGGAGGGGACCGATTCTGCCTGGGGCAACTGTCCAACGTGCACCGTACTGACACCAGCGAGCGGGCCAGGTGAGACTCGGGAGCACCAAATGTAACCGTCGTATAACGAAACAAAACAATTTTGGACACAATTCTCTTTTTGTGTTCCAGGCTTCACATCGGAAAGGGCGTTCAGCTGGAGTGCCGGGGGGAGGGCGACGTCTGGATGCGCTGTCTCAGCGACCACGCCGTTTTCGTGCAGAGTTACTACCTGGATAGGGAGGCGGGCCGAGCCCCGGGGGACGCCGTGCACAAAATTTACCCCGGAGCCTATATCAAGGTGACCATTCCTTCTTCTTTTTTTTCTGTTGTTCGAAATCCATTTTGAAAATCTCTGCATCTGTAATCAGGAAACCTCTCTTTGTTTTCCTCAGGTGTTCGACTTGCGGCAATGTCACCGCCAGATGCAGCAGCAAGCGGCAACGGCGCAGGCGGCGGCAGCAGCTCAGGCTGCGGCTGTGGCTGGGGCCATCCCTGGTCCTGGGTCTGTGGGTGGAATCGCACCAGCCGTCAGTATGTATTGAGTACTGTAGTTAGCTATTTAGGTTAGTTAGACATTAGACCGGGGGTAGGCCAACCCCAAGCCCTTCAGCTGTGGTGAAACTACAAATTCCATGCATCTGCCTCTGTCTGTGGCAGTTAGAGATTCACAATGCCTAATGGGATTTGTAGTTGCACCACAGCTGCTTTCATTGGGTTGTTGCATAACGATGACTGGAACAGTCAGGAACTACTGGGTGGTTGTGTGTATTCAAGTTCTGGACTTATTTAGTTGGGTGTGGTGATTACTATCTGAGTACCACATGTGACCCAATTCCTCATTGTTCTGACATATTCTCTTTTGTAGGTCTGTCAGCAGCAGCCGGGATTGGCGTGGATGACCTCCGCCGTCTCTGCATCCTGCGCCTCAGCTTCGTCAAAGGATGGGGACCGGATTACCCGCGGCAGAGCATCAAGCAGACCCCGTGCTGGATAGAAGTTCACCTGCATCGAGCCCTGCAGCTCCTTGACGAAGTTCTCCATACGTTGCCAATGGCCGACCCCAATTCGGTCAACTAGTGAAGGCCGGTAAAGCATGGACAGTATTGTACGAGCCTTTCATCTCTACCCCATGATGTTTTTCTGGGTTCTCTGGAGTCAAGAACTTAACATAACCAACTACGTGATTGGCAAAGTGCTATCAGACGTCCGCTATCCTATATAGTGATGCACTGGTGGTCCCTTCTCAAAAAGATTTTGGAGGTCCACTTCAAGTCACGGATACCCTATGGCCAAAAGTTTGTAGACACCTGCCCATCGCACTTATGTGATCTTGTTGGACATCACATTCCAAAACTATAATCGTTAATATGGAGTTGGCCCCTTTTTAGCTATAACATCCTCCACCCTTCTGGGAAGGCTTTCTGGAAAGTTCCTCCACAGCAAACTGGTCAAAGGTCTTCATAGGGTTAAAGTCACAGGTCTGTGAAGGCCACTCCAGTTCCTCCACACCAAACTAGTCAAAGGTCTTCAGTAGGGTTGAGGTCAATGATATGTGAAGGCCACTCCAGTTCCTCCACACCAAACTAGTCAAAGGTCTTCAGTAGGGTTGAGGTCAATGATATGTGAAGGCCACTCCAGTTCCTCCACACCAAACTGGTCAAAGGTCTTCAGTAGGGTTGAGGTCAATGATATGTGAAGGCCACTCCAGTTCCTCCACACCAAACTGGTCAAGCCATGTCTCCATGGAGCTGGCTTTGTACACAGGGGCACAGTCATGCTGGAACAGAAAAGGACCTTCACCAAACTGTTACCACAAGGTTGGAAGAGGACAATTGTCTACAATGTCTTTGTATGGTGGAGTATTAACAGGAACCTTCACTGGAGACACCTGAACTCCATCCCTGTGAGGTTGGTTCACATACATTTAACCATATAGCGTGTTCCCCGAGAACATTTACCTCCAGAAGGAACCCAAAAAAATCCCAGACCGCTTCCACAAATAGACTTTCTCTATGCCATTAAAAGACAGATTGGGCTACCTCAGTTGCAGACCCCCCGACTTTCCACGCCGCCGAAAGACTTTTAAAGCTGCCTAAAAAGAGGCAAAAATGGTTTTAGGGGGTTGGGGGCTGCGATGAAACTGGTACCAAAAGCCGTTACCAAATATTGCAACCGAGGGACGACTGCGGAGGGCGGACATTTTATTTTATATAAAGAAGTTTCCTCCACATACGAACGGACTTCTAAATAAAATATTTATGTATTATTGCTTATAAAGGCAATGTCTTATCTGATCTTTATTGAGGGCAAATGACTGTGCAGAATATTGGGCTAAGCCAGGCCGGTACTGCCCAAAATATATGAATAGGATTTTACCTCCACTTCCTGTCAGTGTGCCAACTGTAAGACAGAACAGGAAGTGATGGGTTATCACTCCAAGGGGGACACACATGGCACTTAAAACCTGTGGTGCTTCCTCGGGTCTGCTCCTTTTTTTAAAGGCCCTTGTCAACGCTGACCTCCGGCCTCCCCTTCAGTCTTATATCTGACCTCTGCCCTTCCCTTCAGTCTTGCACAGTTGTACCGACTCCTCTCCCGGACTAAATGGCTTCCTCTGATTTCACTGCACGCCGTGAGCTTCTCACAATTTGCATTAGAAGCTGCAGCAAGTCAGATAGAGCCCGCCTCATTTCCTGGCTGGAGGATGTCCAACATTATCTAGCCGGTTCGTCCCCAGCCCCGCCCCTTTCATTCATTGGCTTTCAGTTTTGTCAATCATGGAGACTGAGCATCACGTGGGCATTACCTGGGGCGATCTGCATGCAAATACAGCCTGTCTAGGAACGCCCACTCCTCCAGACACACCCATTTAGGCATTTTGATATTTGCATAACTCCTCCCAAAGTCCAGCCCACTGCTTGAGTCAGGACTGATTGCTCTTTAAAAAAAAAAGTACTGAGGCAGGGTGCTGTGATGGTTCCAGGAAGCTATGTGCAGCACCCTGCTGGCCCTTCCCCTCCAGCCATGATCTGCCTGCATTCCAAAGAGACCCAATGATGATGTCACTGAGTCTAAGGTATTTAATTGAAAGGGGTGTAATTTAGAAATGACAGTATGTGGATGAAGGGCGAGGGATGAAAATATATTAAACCTTGGCTTTACCTTATCAGTATAACCTCTAAAGAGAACCCGTCTAGCCTCATATAGCAATCTTAGATGGCAGGGTAAGGTCTTGCTGGCTAACCTTGCTATGCATTTGTCCTTGTTTTGCATTGTGCATCGCATTTATACCTTGTTGCTCGTATTCTGATCCTCGGCATATGTCATACACAACCATAGAGAACAAATACTAACTGGGATCTGGCTCAATGCATGTGCCCAGGATGGAGGGAGGTTTGCCCGCATTTCCTGTCCAGGCGACCCCTGTCACGCCGCAACCCCCCCTCCACTAGGGTGTCCCTGGGACAGAACCTCTCCAATGGACCCTACAAATCACCTCTTTCCATACTGTCCTGGACTGTTTTGGCTGAAGTACTTTAAAACAGGTTCCAGTGGAGAAATGTTTCACTGATAAGTATGGAAATATCAATGTTGAACTCCTAAAATCCTCAGAGGTTCTCCATATTGGATTCCTGCGTCTCTCCATTCCCCTTCTGTATGCTGACAGTGTCTTTCCTCCACCTAGTGGTGGGTTGGAGAATGACAGCCTGGAAGTCATGCGCCAACCTTGGGGCCATACAAGTCTATAGGAATAAAAAACAATTTGAAGGAGGTCAGAAAGAGGTCCAATGCAGGTCAGAAGGATGTCCAATGCAGGTCAGAAAAAGGTCCAATGCAGGTCAGAAGGATGTCCAATGCAGGTCAGAAGGATGTCCAATGCAGGTCAGAAAAAGGTCCAATGCAGGTCAGAAGGATGTCCAATGCAGGTCAGAAAGAGGTCCAATGCAGGTCAGAAAGAGGTCCAATGCAGGTCAGAAGGATGTCCAATGCAGGTCAGAAAGAGGTCCAATGCAGGTCAGAAGGATGTCCAATGCAGGTCAGAAAGAGGTCCAATGCAGGTCAGAAGGATGTCCAATGCAGGTCAGAAGGATGTCCAATGCAGGTCAGAAGGATGTCCAATGCAGGTCAGAAGGATGTCCAATGCAGGTCAGAAGGATGTCCAATGCAGGTCAGAAGGATGTCCAATGCAGGTCAGAAGGATGTCCAATGCAGGTCAGAAAGAGGTCCAATGCAGGTCAGAAGGATGTCCAATGCAGGTCAGAAGGATGTCCAATGCAGGTCAGAAGGATGTCCAATGCAGGTCAGAAAGAGGTCCAATGCAGGTCAGAAAGAGGTCCAATGCAGGTCAGAAGGAGGTCCAATGTGCCTCTCAATGAATTCTGAATGATCTCCGAAACATGCCATTAACGCAAGGCCCAAAGATTGCCAAAATGATTGTTATATGAGACCTACAGATCCAGCCGAGAGAGGAACTTCAATGGAATAAAACATATTCTTGTTCTAATAACACTCCTCTAACTGTTCCTAAATCCAGCACTTTTTCAGCCCCTTTGCAAACAGCAGGTCCACTTTTTTCACAGCTCCCAATATACAGGTGAAACTCGAATAATTAGAATATCGTGTAAAAGTTCATTTTAAAAGAAGTTGGATGTTTCCAAAGTGCTGTATCAAAGCACATCAATAGAAAGTTATGTGGAAGGGAAAAGTGTGGAAGAAAAAGGTGCACAAGCCGCAGGGATGACGCAGCCTGGAGAGGATTGTCAGGAAAAGTGTTGGGGACTTTCACAAGGAGTGGACTGAGGCTGGAGTCAGTGCATCAAGAGCCACCACACACAGACGGATCCTGGACATGGACTTCAAATGTCGTATTCCTCTTGTAAAGCCACTCCTGAACAACAAACAACGTCAGAAGCGTCTTACCTGGGCTAAAGAAAAACAGGCCTGGTCAGTTGCTCAGTGGTCCAAAGTCCTCTTTTCTGATACGAGCAAATTTTGGATCTTTTCACCTTTAAAGTTGCATTAGTGAAATAAATGAACTTTTGCACGATATTCTAATTATTTGACTTTCACCTGTAAATGGTTTTCTAAATAAACCATTTGCCCTCACCAAAAAAAACTTTGGCCCGACCTCCGACTCTTCCTTACATCCCAGAACCGTCAAGGATTACGACAAGTTTTTTGGGGGGCAAACTAATTATAAAGCTATTTGGATTGTGGGCACTGGCAAAGAAGTGGACCTTCGGCTTGCCGCCACTGAAAATCCGATTCAGAATTGGAGGCAGTACACGTGGTGCAATCCCAGTTTGGTTGGCCGTAGCTCCTGCACCATAACCGACACAAACCCTGGTCACAGGCGATCTGTGAACCGTCTCCAGACATCTATACACTGCTGGAATGGACAAAAATAAGCATCAGATGGAAGGGTTTTATCTCCACCAATTCTTTGACATGAAAGGCCAAGGATGGATTCCACAGGGGACAATAGTGTTTGGGGGGTTGGTCATATGGTTGCGGTAAGATGGCCTCCTGGTGACTGCAGATAGGTCAACTCGCCCCATACTCAGTACGTGAAACTTGAGTCTTTTTGACCTCCTCCTCTGTCTGGGTAAGGAACGACGACTCACACAAAATAAAAAGGCAACCGGACTTGCTGTATTTTTCTTGAAGACGTTTCGCTCGTCATCCAACCAGCTTTCTCAATTCTGAATTGAGAAGGTTGGTCAGATGACCAGCAAAACGTCTTCAAGAAAAATACAGCAAGTACGGTTGCCTTGATTTATGTTTTCCAGATATACCATGACCTGGATGACTGAGAACCTCCACAGACTTAGCGCAGAGCTGTTGTCTGCGCTTTATTATTATTATACAGGATGTATATAGCGCCAACAGTGTGCGCAGCGCTTTACAATATAGGGAAGACAATTACAATACAAAGCTTTACCTCAATGTGATGTGTATGCACGTTCCTGTTCATTTTAAATGACAGGCCTGGAAGAATGACCTCCGTCCCAATGATGATGGGTCCCTGGTCATGGCCCCGGATCACAGCGTCAATACTGAGCTACTGTGCATGCTCAACAAAGGGATTCATTAAGCTAATCTGAAGCCTTGAGTGAGTGTTCCTATATAATGAGAGGCGGGGTGTGGGCAGCCCCCTTC